GGGGGGGGGGGGGTTACCCCGATTTCGGGGGGGTGTCCCAGTTCTGGGGAGATTCCCGATCCCTGAGTGGATTCCCGATCCCTAGGGGTGATTCCCAATCCCGGGGGTGGATTTCCCATCCCGTTGGGGGTTACCCCGATCCCAGGGTGGATTCCCGATCCCAAGGGGGAGTACCCCGATTTCGGGGGTGGATTCCTGATCCCAGGGTGGATTCCCGATGCCGGTGGGGGTTATCCCGATTCCAGAGTGGATTCCCGATACTGGGGGGGGGGTTACCCCAATCCCAGGGTGAATTCCCGATCCCGTTGGGGGTTACCCCTCTCCCGGGGGGGGGTTCCGATCGCGGTGGGGGTTACCCCGATCCCAGGGTGGATTCCCCCAATCCCAGGGTGGATTCCCAATCCCAGGGGTGGATTCCCCATCCCGTTGGGGGTTCCCCCTCTCCCAGGGGGGGTTCCCCATCCCGTTGGGGGTTCCCCCTCTCCCAGGGGGGGTTCCCGCCGGCGCGGCCGTACCCGTAGGTGGTGAGGACGCTCTTGTTGACGACGACGATGAGGAAGGAGCTGAGGCCGTAGAAGGTGGCGGCCAGCAGGCGCAGCCAGAGCGGCGGGGCCGCCATGCCCCGCTCCGCATCGCCGGGCGCGGGGGCTCCGGCGGGGGCTCCCCCCTCGGCCGCCCCCTCGGGGGCCCCCCCGGCTGCGGCCGCGGGGCGTCTGCGCGGGGCCGACATGGCTGGGGCGGGACCGGAGAACGGGAGGAGCCGCGCAGCCGCGGGGATGGGAGCGGAGAGGGGAGAGGGGAGGGACCGGGAACGGGAACCGGGATGGGAGAGGGGAGGGAACGGGGATGGGAACGGAGAGGGGAGGGACCGGGAACGGGGATGGGAACCGGGATGGGAGAGGGGAGGGAACGGGAACGGGGATGGGAACGGGGATGGGAGAGGGGAGGGAACGGGGATGGGAACGGGGATGGGGAGGGACCGGGAACGGGGATGGGAACGGGGATGGGGAGGGACCGGGAACGGGGATGGGAACAGGGATGGGAGAGAGGAGGGACCAGGAACGGGGATAGGAACGGGGATGGGAGCGGGGATGGGGAGGGACCGGGAACGGGGATGGGAGCGGAGAGGGGAGGGACCGGGAACGGGGATGGGAAGAGGATGGGAGAGGAGAGGGAACGGGGATAGGAACGGGGATAGGAACGGGGATGGGAGGGACCGAGAACGGGGATGGGAGCGGGGATGGGGAGGGACCGGGACGGGGAACGAGAGCGGGGATAATGGGGGGGCGGGGGCGGGTAATGGGATGGGTTGGGATAACGGGGTGGGATCCATGGGATGGGATAACAGGGTGGGATGAGATGAGATAACGGGATGGGATAACGGGGTGGGATGGGATGGAGGGACGTAGCACAGGGGGCTGGGATGTGGGCCAGTGATGGGGGGACGGAGCACAGGGGCCTGGGATGAGATCCATGGGAATCATGGGACAGGATGGGATGGGGTAGGATGGGATGGGAGAACATCGCGCAGGGGGCTGGGATGTGGGATGGGGGACAGTGATGGGGATATTGCACAGAGGGATGGAGTGGGGACATGGATGGGGGACATCACACAAGGGGGGCTGGAATTGGGGGACACTGACTGGGAGAGATGAAACCCATGACAGCAGAAATGGGGGGTCAGACCCAGACCTGTGCCAGCAGAATTGGGGGGGGTCAGAGCCGTGCTGGCCCCGCTGTCCCTGGCACGGTGGCCCCGGGGGCCCCGCAGCCTGCCGGGTGTTGCCCTCGGGTGACCCCGCACGCAGGATTTTGGCACCAGCCCTTCCCTTTCAGAGATTAAATCTTCCCCTCCGGGCTATGCTCTGCCAAGTGGAAAAATCCCCAAACAAGGCAGCTTGGAGCACAAAAAACGCCTCCGCCCTAGGGAGGGAACAGATTGGGCTGGGGGACACCTCAAGGCACCGCTGGGGAATTTGGGCACCCATCACCCTCACCTGGTCACAGCTCTCAGTCCCCGCAGGACAAAGTGTCCCCGAGCCCCCCAAGGGACAGGACACGGCTGGAGGGACAAAACTGGGGGGAATGAGGGTGGGCATGGGGGGCAGTGCAGGGGGATGAGGGATCAGCCTCAGCTTGGAAACAGCAGCGATTCCATAAAAACCTTGGATCATTTCGGTTGGAAAAACCCTCAAAGAGCATCCGGTCCAACCATTCCAGCACGGCCAAGGCCACCCCTATCCCACATCCACCCAAACCCCTCCAGGGTTGAGTTGGGGTCTCTCCCAAAATGAGGGGGGAAGGCAGCAGCGGGACATTCATTGCCCGTGGCCGTGGCTGTGTTTACAGCCCCTTTTTGGGGAGCATTATTCCCGATTTTCTCGCTGCCATGACCTGTCTGGGCACAGCCAGGGCCTGCAGAGGCAAACGGGGAATGGTGGCCCCGTGGGCAGGAGCTGCCGCTCGCCCCGGCACGCTCGGCTCGCTCCCCTCGCAGGGAAAAACAAAAACTCTGCCCAAATTTTCCTTTTCCCGGCTGATTCACTGCCCTGCACACAGGGAAGGAGCGGGGGCTGTTCCCTGGCACGGCTCACAGGAAGGACAAAACTGACTTTAAAGTCCAGGAGCAACTTTCCATATCTCGGGTGTCCTTTTACCCCGGGCCAAAAATCACAGTGAAACCTTCTTTGACATTGGCATCACCTTCCTTGTTCCTGCAGCGATCCCCGGCTGTCCTGAAGCCGTTGGACTGGGGAATCTTTACTGCTCCAGAGGAACCCGATCCTGCCTGGAGCGCGGTGCCAGCGGGACTGACGCACTCAGGGCTGGTTCCCTGTCCCTCTGGAATGTCCCTGTCCCCCCCGGGGGAACCCTAAATGAGGGGACAGAGAAACCCCCATGGGTGCAGTGTCCCCCCGGTCCCAAACACACAGATTTTAGGATGGAATATCTGGGTGTCACCCGGCAGCGGTGGCAGCAGGGGGAAAGGGACGAGCCTGTGCCACCCCCGTGTCCCCCGTGTCCCCATGGCCGGGCACGGCTCTTGGGGTGACACAGGAGCTCTGCTCTTGGCGGCAGAGCCGCGTCTGTCCCGACCTTTCCTCCCTGCGGGGATCCCAGCGTGCCCCCAAAGAGAACAAAGGGTTAAATTGATCCTCTTGCATCTCCATCTCCCCGCCGAGGGCTCCGTTTCCACCTCTGGATGCAGGATCACAGAATGCTGGAATGGTTTGGGCTGGAAGGGAGCACAAAGCTCACCTTGTTCCTCCTTCCACCATCCCAGGGCTGCTCCCAGCCCTGTCCAGCCTGGCCTGGGACATTTCAGGGATCCAGGAACAGCCACAGCTGCTCCCCATGGAGGGAATTTCTCCCTAAACCCACCCCAACCCTGCCCTCAGCTGGAAGGAATATTTGAACAAACCACAGGGAACCCCAAAAACACCCTGGGAGGGGGGGGGGAGTTGGAAATTCGGGGCAGTGCCTCAGAGGAGAAACTCAGCGACAGAAACTGAGATTCCTGAGCATGGGAAAGAGGAATGAGTGAGGAAGAGCTCGGTGAGAGCAGAGCCTGACCCTGCTCCCCTGCTGCTCCCAGAGCCCTGAGCTGCAGCTCTGGGGGCTCAGAAGGGACAAGGACACGGCAGTGAAGTGGCAGCGGGACATCGGGAGCCTGGAAATGCAGGAACCGGCAGCTCCCAGGGGCTCCGGCACCAGTCCTGGGAAATCTCCACGTCCCACCACACCCTGCCAGCTCCAGATGTGCTGCCCTGGCTCCAGCTGTGCCACCCGAGCCCAGGTGTGCTTGTCCTCGGTGCCAGCCCAGCGCCAGATGCGATCAGCTGGCTCCAGATGTGCGCGCTGCCCCCGTGCAGCCCCAGCTGCGTGCCCCGGGCATTGAACATTCCCAGCACATCCCAAAGCTGAAATTCCCACTAAAACTCCCTCCAGTCCTGCTCGGGGTGTGCGTAACCGCACCAACCCAGACGTTCCTACAACGTTATACACATTATATTCATTATACACATTTTATACATTATAGAATCACAGCGCCCAGCGAGGCTTCACCCCGCCGTGCCGGCAGCCTCCTGCTCTCACTTCCACAAAAAAAAAAAAAAAAAAAAAAAAAAGAAAATAAAAATTCCCCTGGATCAGTTAAAACCAGGAGCAGCCCGGGCTTGCAGAGGCTCTGCCTTTGCCCGGGGGGGTGAATTCTGTTCCCCGACATTTCCTCCCGAGAGGCAGAGGCGGGAGCAGTGCGGGGTTTCCTGTGGTTGCAGTGTCTAAATGAGGTTAACACTGTTTTTGAGGTTTAGCTCTTCAACCGACACGAAAAAGGAAGTCCCGGGCTGTGCAGAGCCGGCCTTTGGGAGCAGCAGAGGGAGCCGGGGGTGGGGAGAGCGCTGGAGCATCCCTGGAACTTCGGGACCTCCCAAAGGGTTGGGAATTCTCTACCTGGAACATCCTTGGATGAGCAGCACGAGCACAGAGAGGGGCTGACAGTGCTGGTGACAACACCCCCAATTCCTTTGGGACTTTCGGGGATCGCCAGGAAAATGTTTTTCCTCTGACAGCACCCAGGGCTCTGCGTTCTGTGCTCCCACCCAGCACGGAGAGCACCAAAACCCCGCTGGGGATGGGCTCAGCTCCAGCAGGCTGACCCCAAACCCTGCCAGGACCTCCAGACCCCCCGAGGGAAGGGCCTGAAGGGCCGCTGGGTTTTCCCTCGGGCTGACTCAGACTGCAAGGAGAGCTCGGCTGCTCGATGTAGGTCAGCCCCGCTCTGCCCCGGCTCACTCTGCTGATGCAGCTCCCGGTGCCACATGCCCTGAGCATTACCAAGGTAAGGATTCCTTGCTTTCCCCAGCTCCCAGCTCCCTGTATTTAACCCCAAAATATCGCAGCTCCTGCTCCTCACCTGCTGAATGCACTCCTGGCACAGCCGCTGGTGAGGATTCCGTGTGATTTGGGTCGGAGCAGCTTCTCCCCTCCTTGGCTGAATTCTCATTTCTTTAGCCCTGATGCTCAAGGAGGTTTCAGCAGAGCTGAGATCAAAGCCCAGCACCTCCAAATGGCCTCGTTCCCTTGGCTTTGGGGTTTGCAAACGCCTCTAAATTGGAATAAAAACACAAATGTGATTCCCAGAGGAGGCACAGCCTGCGACCCCTCGGGGAGCTGGGCACATTTCGAGTTTTCAGCTCTTCCCATAGGACCCCAATTGCTTTTTCTTTTTTTTTTTTTTTCATTTGCTCTGACTTGCAGAAGGTTCGTGGGCACTTGGGGAACCGACAGCTTCTCTTTGTAGGTCAGGTAATGGGGAGGCACTTGAAATTTGACTCACTCATGATGAATACTCGATCAGCCCTAAAAACCAAACCAGGTCACCTCACCCTGCACGAGAAATACTGAAGCACTCGTGCTGCTGGTTTGGTGGCCTGGTTTGGGTTGAAAAAAATCAGCATTTTGGAGTTTATACTGTGGATTCTGGCCTCCCTCCAGGGAAACTTGCCATTCCTGCCAGCAGGTAAAGGAAACACGGGGACATTCCTGCCAGCATGGGGAAAGGGAATGATGGAGGCTGGGGTTCAGCCCCAGGCAGGGGAATTGGGGTGTCAGGGCTGGCTCAGGGTCTGCTCTGTGCCCATCCCCACCCCCAGAGGGGTCCGTGGGGGATGCTGGAGCCCCCCCGATCTTCAGGAGGGACTGGGGGTGCATTGCTGGTTGCTCCCAGGAGGATGCTTTGCTTGGAAAAAAAAAATTCCCCCCAGGAGCTGCAAAACCCTTCCAGCCCCACAGCCCAAACCCTACAGGGCTGCTGAGGCTGGGCTTGGATTGTGGGGAGAGGAAAAGGGAGCAGGGAGAAATGTAAACTCCCGTGGGTGACTCCTTGGGCACGGGTGGGAAAGCCTGGCCTGGGATTTTGGGGGTCTCCAGGGGTTCACTGCTGGGAAGAGCCATTGCTCAGCCTGGGCAGGACCTGTGGGGAAGATATTAGGGAAAGAGGGAATTTCCATCCCATAAAACCGGGGATGGAGACTGCAGGACAAACCTTCAGGGCAGCAGCCCCACTCTGGTCACCTTTAAAGAGTTTTTTTCTTACATTTTAGCTGGAATTTCCTGGTTTCCAGTGGGAGCCTGTTGCCTCCAGCCCTGTCCCTGGGCCATGGGAGGAGTTTGGCTCCTTCATCCATCCCCAAGGATTTCCCCCCTTGAGCCCCCTCCTCTCCGGGCTGAGGGGGCTCCCCCAGCCTTTCCTCACTCCTCAGCTGCTCCTGACTCTCGGGCACCTTTGGTGGACTCACCCCAGAGTATCCAGGGACATTCCAGGGACGTTCCTGTCCCTGTGGGAGCCCTGGAGCCAACCCTGGGGCTGTGTCTGAGCAGAGGGGCAGCACCCCCTGACCCCCCAAACCCATTTTCTCCAAGGCAAGGCTGCTCAGATTTCCCTGCCACAAACCCACATTGCCTTCCCCCCTCCTGCCCGTGCTGGAGCTGGTTCCCAGGAGAGTTTTTCCCATCATTTTAATCATTTTTCCCATCATTTTAATCATTTTTTTTCCCCTCATTATCATTTTTTTATCCCTCAGACTATGCCACGTGTGGGCAGTGGCCTCACTCCAGGCCATGGCAGGCTCAGGCTCCAGCGAGGTTTTGGTGCTGCACGTCCTGCTCTGCTGGCTCTGCCCGGGTGAGTGACAGTGACAGGGCCACCCCAGGGACACCTGAGCCACCCCAGGGCCACCAGGGCCACTCCAGGGCCCTGCAGGGCATTTAGGGTGGCAATGGGACAATTGCAGGGTTGGGGGTTTTGAGGGGAGCATTGCGGGGGTGGGGGGGGGGGGGTCCCATGTTCTGCAGCTTCTTCTCCTTCCCTCTCCCCTTCTTGGAGTGGAGCCATTTCCGGACTCCCAGATCCATCCCCAAGCCCCTCAGATCCATTCCCAGGCTCCCAGGACAATTTCCAGACTCCCAGAGCCATTTCCAGGCTCCCGGATCCATTTCCAAGTTCTCAGAGCCGTTCCCAGTCTCCCAGATCCATCTCCAAGCCCCCAGATCCATTCCCAGGCTCCCAGGACAATTTCCAGACTCTTAGAGCCATTTCCAGGCTCCCAGATCCATCCCCGAGCCCCCCAGATCCATTTCCAGACTCCCAAGACCATTCCCAGGCTCTTGGAGCCATTTCCAGGTTCCCAGATCCATCCCCGAGCCCCCCACATCCATCTCCAAGCTCCCAGGACCATCTCCAAGCCCCCCAGATCCATCGCCAAGCTCTCAGGGCCGTTCCCGGGCCCCCAGATCCATTCTCAGATTCCTAGATCCATCTCTCAGATCCATCCCCAAGCCCCCCAGATCCATCCCCGGGCCCCCCAGATCCATTCCTGAGCTCCCAGGGCCATTCCCAGATCCATCCCCAAGCGCCCCAGATCCATCCCCGAGCCCCCAGGGCCATTCCCAGACCCATTCCTGAGCTCCCAGGGCCATTCCCGAGCTCTCAGATCTATTCTCAGATTCCTAGATCCATCTCTCAGATCCACCTCCAAGCCCCCAGGACCATTCCCAGCCCCCCAGATCCATTCCCAGGCCCCTGCCCCCCCCGTGCAGCCCAGGCGGGCACAGCCCTGCCCTTTCCAGGAAGAGCCGATGGAGCCGATAGCGCCCGAGAGCCGGGGCTGCTGCAGAATTTCATCTGATAGCGAAGGGCAGCGCCCCCGCCGCCCTAATCTTGGGGATCAGAGCTCTCGAGAGCGCAGGTTATTTCCCTGCACTCATTTAAACTTCAGAGCAAAAGCTGAAATGGGTGGAAGGGGCGGAACTGGCTGCTGGTGATGTGCTGGGATGAGTCAGAGGGGCCGGGGGGTTCATCCCAGTCCCGGATTTGGGCTGGGAGGGAGCTCAGAGCTCACCCAGCACCGGGCAGGGTCACCTCCCATCGTGCCAGGCTGCTCCAAATCCAACCCAATATCCAAAACCTCCCACCGTGCCAGGCTGCTCCAAATCCAACCCAATATCCAAAATTTGGATATTGCCGGGGGGAGAGGATTCTCCCCAGCATCACTGGTGACCCCGCGAGGTTTATCCACGTCCCGTGGGGTTCCAGGTGACAGGGGCGGGGTGTAACCCCTTCGCTGCTGCATCCCAGGGAGCACAGCAGTCCCCCCCACCCCCCCGCTCCCATGGGACACCCCCGGAGCTCTCCCGTTTTGGCGCAGGAGCTGCAAGCATCGAGTGCAAGGGGCGCGTGTGGATCGAGCCCTCTGCCGTGGTTCCGATGGGTTCCGACATCTCCATCAGCTGCCAGTCCACGCTGGGCTGTCCTTCAGCCCAACTCCTCATCCTCCTCAACTACAGCCGAGCTGAGGGGACCCCGCAGCCCCTGCCCGGCAGCGCCGTGCGGCTCCGGCTGCGCGATTTTCGGATGCCCTTCGCCACCGTCACCTGCTTCTCCCTCTGTGCCCACCCCCAGCGGCACCGCCTGGTGTGCGGCACCGAGCTCCGGGCGGGCTGTGAGTACCCCCCGTGCCCCCCACCCGTGCCAGGCCTCGAGCAGTGGGGTTTGGCTCCTGCCAAAATCTTATGAGTGCCCCCCGTGCCCCCACCCTTCCCAAACCCTGAGCAGTTGGGGTCTGGCTCCTGCCCAAATCTTGTGAGTGCCCCCCGTGCCCTCACCCGGCCTCGCCCCCCTCAGACCCTCCGGACCCCCCCGCTAACCTGAGCTGCGCCATCGCCGAGGGCTCGGAGCGCCTGCAGTGCGGCTGGGATGAAGGACGGGACACTCACCTGGCCACCCGGCACAGCCTCCACCTGCGCAGGTGAGCACGGGTGCACCGGGGCTGGGGGTGACAGAGACAGACTCAGTGACAGAGACAGCCCCGGGTGGCAGCCAGCCCTGGTGACCGCCCCGGTGACATCCCTGGGTGTCGGCCACAGGTGACAGACAGCCCCTGGTGACATCCCCAGGTGACAGTCCCGGGTGATATCCCCGGTGACATCCCTAGGTGGCAGCCCCAGGTGACATCCTCAGGTGGCAAACAGCCCCTGGTGACAACCCTGGGTGGCATCCCCGGTGACATCCCTGGGTGGCAGCCAGCCCCTGGTGACACCCTCTAGTGACAACCAGCCCCATGTGACAGCCAGCCCTGGGTGACATCCCCGGGTGGCAGCGGGGTTGCCGTGCCCCAGTTCCATTTCCTCCAGCTCACGTTTTTGTCACCTCCTGCCCGGGAACCGCCCGTCCCGCCGCAGGGGGGGTCTGCAGGGGGTGGCCCTGGCTGTCACCCGGCTCACACTCAGCGTGTCCTGCCACAGGGGAGCGGCAGCTTCAGCTGCCCGGGCTCTCTCCAGGAGACAGACAGGGTGAACCTAACGCTGCCCAAACCCCAAAAACTAAAGCCCAGCTTGAAGCTGAAGCAGAGGTGCTGGCATCTGCACGGTGTGTCACAGTGTCACCCTGGGATGTTCCCTGCCACCAAAATCCCCACGGCACAGCCTGGCAGGCTTTCAGTCCTCCTCACTCGGTTTTAAGGACATTAAACCCCATCATATTTGTGGAGAGAAGGGCCAAAGCTCCTGCTGGAATTCGCTTGGGATCAAGCTGAACCGTGCAGGCAGAAAGGAAGGAAAGAATTCCCTTCCCACTGGGAAAACACAAATCCCCAGCAGCAGCGGCAGGGAAGGGAAGGAATTCCCAGTTTGCTTCAGGGGTGACGAGCTCTGGGTTTGGGGATGGCCACGCCCTGCTCAGGAGCTGGGAGGTCTGGGATGGGCACAGACTGGGACGGGGCTGCCTTCTGCCTCCAGGGTGGTGCCACAGGATGAGGAGGATGAGGAAGAAAAGACCTTCCCTGCAGACTCCCCTGTGCTGCTGAGAGAGCTGCGTAATGAGAGCCACTACTCGGTGTGGGTGCAGGCCAGCAACGCTCTGGGCACTGCCAGCTCGGCCCCTCAGCTCCTCAGCCTGCAGGAGCTCGGTATGTCCGTCTGTCTGTCCATCCATCCATCCAGTTATCCCTCCATCCATCCATCCATTTATCCATGCTTTTATACATTCTTAATCCATCCCCCATCCATCTATCCATCCATCCATTTATCCATGCTTTTATACATTCTTCATCCATCCATCCATCCCCCATCCATTTATCCCTCCATCCCTCAATCTTCCCTCATCCATTTACCATCCACTTATCCATCCATCATCCTTCCCTCATCCATTATCCATTTATCCATCCATTTATCCATCCATCATTTATCCGTACATCATCCTTCCATCCCTCCATCTCTCAACCTTCCCTCATCCATTTATCCATTAATCCCTCCTCCATCATCCATCCCTCATCCATTTATCCATTCCTGTATCCATCCCTCCTCCATCCCTCTGCCCACCCATGACCAGCACAGCGTGCTGGGGCTGTCCGTGTCCCTCCCCCCCTCCCCGCTCTGCCCTGCAGTGTCACTTTAGGGCCAGCCCGTCTCTGTCTGTCCCCACAGTGGTCCCCGCTCTGCCCGTGGCCATCGGCGCCGAGACCTCGGATTCGTCCCCTCCCGTCACCACCACTCGCTGGAGGAGCCGGACCCGGCTGCAGAACGTGCAGTGCCAGGAGAGGCACAGAGCCACGGGCACCCCAAGGTGGCAGGTGAGACCCCCGGGACCCCCAAACCTCCCCCCACACACAAATCCCGTTCCCACAGGGACCCCCGCGGGCAACGGGAACAGTTGGGGTCATTCAGAACTCACCCCTGGCGGATCCCGCTTTGGGGGCAGGGTTAGCTCAGCTTTTTAAGCAAAAAGACCAAATTCCAAACATTTCCGAACGTTCTGCTCTGCAAGGACAAGGCACAAAATCCTCTGGGATTCTCAGACAAAACCACACCGGGACAGCTCCTCCTGAGCCCTTTGGAGACATCCCTGAGTGCTGGCAGGGTCCCAGCTGCCACAAAATCCCGGTTGGTGACAGAATCCCCGAGTGGCAGCAGCCCGGGGGCTCCAGGTGTGCCCGCAGAGTGGCACTGGAGGGGACAATGAGGGTCCTGCCACCCCTGCCCCGTGCCAGGGGGTGGCGGTGGGAGTTGGGAAGGATGAATTAGGAAAACTTTATAAATACGAGTGCCTGGCAAAAGACTTTGAGAATATGGAAAATATAAGAGAAATAGAAATGAGAGCGATTTTCGACTGTGTGGCTGAAAGCAACTGAATGCCTGCAGGCCCCTTGGTTTAGATAAAGTTAAATGCTGCCAATACCAAAAATCAAACAGACATCCTCCCTAGACATGGCAGGAAGGGTCCCAGATAAAATTTAGAGATAAGAAAAGCAGTAAAACATGGTAATATAGTGATTCCTATAGGTTGCATGCAAATGTTAAAGAATTTGTATCTTCTATTAGATTGGTTAGTGGAAATTAGAATATTCAACATAGAAGATTTGTTGTATTGTAAAGGGGAAAATCGCTCTCCTCTCTCTTACTCTCTTCGTCTTCTCTCTTTTTTTACTCTCATTTTATCCCTCTCTCCATCCTGCTCTGAGCTGCAGTTCCCAGCAGGGCCTGATATAAACCCAAACCCTACAAAATAAACTGCAAACTTCACCACCAGAGCACAGAGAGCGCCCGAGTTTGTCCCTGCCGTCCCCACACGTGGGGACCCTCCGTGTCCCCCTTCCCCCAGCGCCCCGCTGTCCTTGCAGGTGGAGCCGTGTGACAAAGTGGCACAGGAGGGTCCCCGCTGGCAGCACGAGCTGCAGAGCGACACCGAGTTCGTGTTCCAGGTCCGGTGCCGGCTCAGAACCGCCCGCAGCCCCTGGAGCGCCTGGAGCCCCCCATTCCTCTACAGCACCCCCGAGGCAGGTGGGCTCAGCCCCGGGGTCCCCAAGCCCTGTGGATGTGGCATTTGGGGACACGGGACCTTGGCAGAGCTCAGGATGGTCGGGCTCGATGTTCTCAGAGGGTTTTTCCAGCTGAGCGGATTCCGTGATTTCCGGCTCCCCTGGGTGGAAAAAAAAAAAAAAAACAAAACACCACAAAATCACATCAGCCGAGGTGTGGCGACAAATCCCTGTCACCCTGAGCCAGCTCCCCCCCATCCGGGCCACCCTCGGGAGGAGCCTGGCACGGCTCAGCCATCCCGGGCAGCGCTGCCCTCCCGTCCCGGTGGCACCGGAGAACCGGGGCTGCTCCCCCCCGAAAAAAAGCAGCGCCCGCCGCTTCTTTCCATCCGCGCCCTTTCCTCTCCCAGCCGCAGAGTCCCCGCTCGGGAGGGGCTCCCCGGAGGGCTGGGGGTTCCCTCGGGTGTCCCACGATGTCCTCCGGTATCTCAGGGTATCCCCAGGGTGCACCCCCGGTGTCCCCGCTGTGCCCTCCCGTGTCCCCCCCGGTGCCTTCGGGTGTCTCGCGGTGTCCCTGGGGCGCCCCCCGGTGTCTCACGGTGTCCTCGGGGTGCCCTCCGTGTCTCACCGTGTCCCTCCCGGTGTCTCACCGTGTCCCCTCCTGTCGCAGCCCCCTCCTCTCCCGCTGTGTGGCGGCGCCTGGGTCCGGTCCTGCCCAACGGCAGCCACGAGGTGACGGTCTTGATCAAGGTAAGGAGGATTTTGGGGCTCAGCTCTGTGGAGTTTTTGGGGCTCAGCTCCTCCCCGAGCAGCCCTTTGGCCACAGGGATGGGAGGAAAATCCCAGCCCCAGTTTGGAACCAAATCTCTCCATCCTTTTAAAACGTTGTCACCCAGCCCTGGGGACAGCTGTCCTGCCCGGGTGTGGCGGTGTCAAACCCCACAAATCCCTCCCCATCTCACCCCTCGCAGCCTCTGCCAGCCCGGGATGCCCGCGGGAGGATCCTGGGCTATTCCGTGGCCACCGAGAGCCCCGGGGGAGCGGAGCCGCTGTGCCTCACCCTCGGTACCGAGTGCACGGTCCTGGTGCCTCCCGGAGCCCGCAGCCTCCTCGTCACCGCCCGCAATTCCAAAGGTGCTTCCAGCCCTGCCAGAATCCCCCTAAACCGAGCTGCAGCTCAGCAAGGTAGGACGGCAGGGACGGGATTGCACCCGGATTGCCGGGAAATGTTGGATTGTGAGAGGGAAAGGCTCTGGCAGAGCTCTGCCCGCTCCACACAGGGAGCACAAAATCCTCCAGACAAGTCCCCTGGAGATGCTCCATATGGAATCATGGAATTCTGCAGTGGTTTGGGTTGACAGAGATTTTAAACTCATCTCATTTCATTGTTCCGTGGGCATGGACACCTCCCACTATCCCAGATTACTGCAAACCTCATCCAGCCTGGCCTTGGACCCTGCCAGGGATGGAGCAGCCACAGATCCTCCGGGAATCCCATCCCGGAATCCCATCCCGGAATCCCATCCCGGAATCCCATCCCATCCCCTCCGGGAACAATTCCTGCCCCAAATCCCATCCATCCCTGCCCTCTGGGAATCCATTCCCTGTGTGCTGTCCCTCCCTACCTTGTCCCCAGTCCCTCCCCAGCTCTCCTGGAGCCCCTTCAGGCTCTGGAATCTCAGCCCTTCACCTCCTAAGGCTGCAGCAACAAATTTAAAAGTGAGTTTGCCTTGCCTGTGCTGGCAAAGCAAAGGGTGCAAAGCTGCTCCTCTGCTCTGCCAACCCCCACTGTGAGCTGGGCCCTTGAAAACTGGAAAAGAAGGGGAAAAAAAAAAAAATCCTTTCTAAATCCTTTTAGGACCACCTTACTCTCCCTGTGCCCCGGGCTGTGGTTTTCCCCACAACCACGCTTTCCTAGCTCTGAAAAATGTCTCAGAATGAGCAAGGGGAGGGGAAAGTCCCGTTCAAGCTGAGGACAAATACATGACTAAAAAGAAACTGCAGAGAAATAAGGTGGAAAAAGCTCTCAAAGCCCTGATATTTATCAGAATTATGCACATTTCTGGTAAGAAGTGACAGGTGAAGCATTTCAGGGACGTGACCGAGGTGATGATGTGGATTTTGGGATTGGCAAGCACAGAGCTCTGCAGCTGCCCAGGAGGGCCAAGGGCACGTGGAGGGTGCCAGCCCTGGGGCTGTGCCTGTCCCCTGTGCTGGGGACAGCCCTGGGGTCACCACTCCACGAGGGACAGGGAGGGGCTGGAGAATCCCTGAGGGAAATGGGAAGGGGCTGGAGAATCCCCTGAGGGAAATGGGGGGGCTCAGCCTGGAGAAAAGGAGGCTCGGGGGGAATTCCTGGCTCTGCACAACTCCCTGACAGGAGGGGACAGCCGGGGGGATTTGGGATCTGGGAACAGGGACAGGAGGAGGGGGAACGGCCCCAGGCTGGACCAGGGGAGGTTCAGGGTGGGTATCATGAAAATTCCCTAATGGAAAACTTCTCCAGCCCTGGCTCAGCCACCCAGGGCAGGGATGGAGTTCCCATCCCTGGAGGGATTTAAAATCCCTGTGGATGTGGCACTTGGGGACATGGGGCAGTGATGCCCTTGATCTTGACAATCATTTCCAACCTAAATAATTCTATGAAATACAGATCAATACATAAAGGTAGATTTTTATATATATATAGGATGTTTATCTATAACCCCACCATATTCTATAATTTCCTGTTCACCCTTCAGTTTCCAAACACTTCCAGGAAATCCACATTTGTCCTGGCCTTGGCCCTTGCCAGTCTCCAAGGTTGAGTTTGGGGTGACAGCCCCTCGCCTTCCCTCTCTCTCCACAGAATTCCCAGCACCAGAGGCCGTGGAGGTGAAGCCTGAGAACCAGAGCAGGGTCCTGGTTCAGTGGAAGCCCCCCCAGCCCAGCCAGAGCCCCCTGCTCTGGTTCATACTGGAATGGGTTGCCAGTTCCCAGCACGGCCAGGGGGAACAGTTCTTCTGGGAAAAAATCCCACAGCAGGAAACGCACACCTACATCCAAGGTGAGACATTGCCAGGAATCCCTTTTCTGCTTGGCACGGCTCATCAGGACGTAATAAACCCAAATTGCGGGAGCGCCAATCCCAAATTGCCGCGCCCCGAATCCCAAATTCGTGTGAATTTGAGCCCTGCCCCTCGTTTTTTGGGGAGTGGGGCTGCGAAGAATCCTTAGGGAAGAAGGAGGAGGGAAGCAATTGGAGATTGGAAGGCGGTCGGTGGGATTTGATCCCTGGGTGAAGATCACAGGGAAAGGAGGGATGGGGAGGGCAAGAAAAATGAAATAAAAACGAGCTGGCGGGCCAGGAACAACACCAGACCCACAAAGGTCAACCCATCTGTTTTCACCACTCAGTAAAAAGCTCCTGACCGAGGCTGGAGCCTTCGGAGCAGATCAAAATCCACATTTTGAAGGCAATTCTCGTTTTTCCCGGCAGGAGCAGGAGCTGCCCCCCGTGTGTCGCTGTACTCGGTGTATCCCGAGGGCATCAGCCAGCCCAGCTCCAGCCCAGGTGAGCCTGCCCGGGGGGAAAGCTGCTGCTCCACCCCACAGCTTTAGGGGATTCCTCAGGTTTAGGGACAGGATAAACCCTCCTCGCCGAGCTGGATTGGAAAATAGAGGGTTTAATTAAAAAAAAGCTCATCTTTGTCCCCTTGCACACACCTAAAACATGTCAAACACACCAAGCACCGAGTTTTCCTTCACCAGATGCACCAGCAGAGTTTTGTCCCTTTCTGTGGTAGAAAAGCGAGGTTGAAAACGCAGAATTGGCAAGAAAATGTTAGAGATAAACCAAAATACAGCAAAGAGTTTCTGCAGAGAGCGGCTGGGCAGACACAGCCTGCCCTTCCTCACCCGGAGTGGGAGCCACAGCACGGCCTGGAAGGGGAAATCTCCAGCTGGATCAGGGCTGGAAATGGGGCGTGAGGCAGCTTGTAGAGGAATCTCATCATCATCATCCTCATCCTCATCCTCATCCCTGGGGGTGGCTTTGAGAGCTGAGCCAAGCCCTGACATCAGAGCAGGGTCTGACTCCCTGAGCTCAGCCCAAACTGAGGCTGAGAGCCAGGGCTGGGCTTAAATAGAGACCCCTGGGCTGGGGTGGGAGGGAGGGGCCAGGTGAGGCTGGGCAGGGGTGGGGGGGAGGGGCCAGGTGAGGCTGGGCAGAGCCATCAAGGGCTGTCAAGATCCAGAGATACCTGCAGGAGACACCTGAGGTGACACCTGAGCGTGTCCCCAGCTCTGCCATCTGAGATGGGTCCCTGCAGCTTCCCAGGGACCCCTCCTGTGCCAGAGCAGCCCCGTGGCTCCGCTTGGCACCGCTCTGAGCTGGGCAAGGGCAGCTTTTCCCAGGAAATGGAAGGTGACATGCCAAGGTGACATTCCAAGGTGACATTCCAGGCTGGCTCTCCCTCTGTTTGCCCTGGCTCTTGGGTGTTGTCCCCAAGGCATCAAATGTTTGTCAAGGACAGGAGATCCCGAGGGAATTGCTGGGCTTGGATCAAAGCTGAGAATTCCAGCACAAAGAGGCTCCTTGATGTTCAGCTGCAGATCTCCCCTCCCTGCACACAAAAAATCAGGAATTTCATTCCCATGGGGAATCTGGGAAATCCCAGAATCCCAAAATGGTTTGGGTCGGGAGGGACTCAAATCCCACCCTAATGCCACCCCCCTGCCGTGGCAGGGACACCTCCCGCTGTCCCAGGGTGTCCCAATGTCCCTCCTGGCCTTGGGCTTCTCTGGAAAACCTGTCCAAGAACCTGGGAGCGCTCATGGGAAATGCTGGAGCTCCCCAGGGGGACCAAATCCTCGTTCTGGGTGCTGAGGGGAGGGATGGGCACGGCAGATTTTTTATAGGTGGGGACAGGTATTGATCGAGATCTCATTTAATTGGATCCCCGGAAAAGGGGGACATTGTGGAGCTGGAATTATTCATTACTTCAGGGAGCTTCATTTCCCCTCGTTATTCCCCCATCATTTCTTTCTCTAAAAAAGATAAAATCAGGGCGGGTTTTGTGTCACTCACTGCTCTAAATGAATCACAGACATTTCCCCCCTCCTCTCTGTTCCAGCCCCTCCGGAGGAGCCACATCTGGGCAGCACCTACAGCCAGATGTCCCAGGGTAAGAGAACAGCTCGGCCTTGCTAAGCCAGGCTTAGTCCTGGCCACCAGTGCGAGGTTTAAGCCCCAGCAGAGCCTGGCAGTGGGAATTGAGAGCTCCAGGACAATTTTTTGGGGAGGTCAAAGCCGACAAAAAGAACATTTTCACTCCGTGGGGGACACAAGCCACGTGCAGGTGGTGCTCTCGTGGATGAGCAGCACCCACGGAATGCAAACTCTGAGTTTTGCTTTCTAACCAAGTTAAAATACAATGTCCAAAAGGTGGAAAATATAAAATTAACCTCTACAAGAGGCTGGTTCCATCTGGCAGTTTGGAGCAGGGAATTGTGGCAGCGTTTCCAAGGCTTTGCTCTGACTTTGGGGATCTCTGCTTTTGCACATCCCCCGCTAAAGGTCGGGATTTGTCACAGCACTTAAAGCAAAAGCAAAACCAGCACGGGCTGAGGAATTCACGTCAGCATTTCTGGCAGCTGGGGCAGGAAAGGGGGAGTGACTGAATCACCCAGGCATGACCTGCCCCCTCTCCATCCTCCTGCAGATGATGACATCCGAGTTTTCTTGGGACTGAGCCTCAGCGTGGTGGGATTATCAATTCTTTTTGCAATTGCGATGTTCAAAAAATCAGTCAGGAAAAGGTATTTCTTTCTCCTCCATATCTGTCTTTCCTTGTTTCTGATTCATATTTTTTTTCTTTTTTTTTTCTTTTTTTTTTTAGTATATATAGATATAAGAAATATAAAATTCCTTCTGGGATGTTTTAAAACCAACATCAGAGTCCTTTTCACCTCAGCCTGGGGGCAATGTCACACATTTATCAGTTTGTTGTGTAAAAGGACTTTTTGGTGCTTTACACTAAGGCAGAGACCAACCAAAAAAAAAAGTCAAATTAACATGAAATTGGTGAAATTAAAGAACGTGGAACCCAGAGTTTCCTTCCCACCCAGCCCCTTCCATCCTGCGTGAGGAATATCTGAGCAATAATTTGGATTAACATTTGGGGTTTGGTGGGGTTGTTTTATTTTGGTTTTTTTTTTCCCTTTTGGTGAAGGGTGAAGGCCACCCTCGTGTCCCTCTTGCCAAAGTGGCTCTTGGAAGATTTTCCCCACATGGAGAACAGCTCCGTGGTGAAGTCACTCCAGGTGAGGGCAGAGTTTTCTCCTGGCTTTGCTTCCCCTCCGATTAAAGTTTGGAATTCACAGAATCACGGAATTATTCAGGTTGGAAAATCCCTCTGAGGTTGAGTCCAGTCATCTCCCAGCACGGCCACCACTGCTCCATGTCCCCAACATCCACAGGGACTTTAAATCCTTTCCACAAAGAAATTTTCCCTAAATCCAACCTAAACTTCCCCCGGCACAGTTTGGGGGCGTTTCCTTTGGGAATATTCCCTCACCTGGGACAAGGAGCTCACTCCAGAGCTGTGGGGAACAGGGATGGGAAGAGATTTAAGTTCTGAAGCGCTGGGAACTGCTCAGAAATAATTTCCCAGGCGTTTTCAAGGTGTGTGGGAGCCTGGATTAGCTGAGATCTTTAACCCTAAATTCCACAAATTCTGTATTCCATGGCCAAAGATTCCCGGGGCTGGCAGGGACATTAAAGCTCATCCCATTCCATCCCCTGGGCCAGCCCTAATGGCAGCTGTGCTATTATCAACATTTGCCATCATTTTCCCTCCCCAGGGCAAGGAAGATTTCCCCAATTTCCAGGAGCCGTTCCTGGCCCCCGGCGATCCCGCAGTGACGGAAATCGAGGAGGTGCCGGCACAGGAACGACACCAAAACCCGGACACCGAGGCCAGGGCAGAGGTGACCGAGCACGGGGAGGTCACCAGGACCTTGGTGGCCCCCGGCAACCTGGCCCTGGAGCAGCTCAGTGCCTACAAACCCCAACTGTCCCACGGCAACGCTCTGGGATACATCACTGCTGGAATCCCGCAGCAACCCGCAGAAATCCCAAAAGCAGAGGTGGGAATTTTCTCTGGGGACTACACCAGCCCCGTCCCCCAGCTGTGGGAGCAGCAGGGAGCAGGAACGGCCCAGATGTGTCTGCTGGAGAAGATCCACCTGGTTCTGAACAGCAGCCAAGCATTCCCAGTGCAGGCAGCACCTGGATCCTGCCCGGGGAACCCCTGGGAACCCAGCGATGTCCCCAAGCAGATTCTGGTCCCCGAGGAGCTGCTGTCCTGCCTGAGAGCCACCAACAGGGAGGCCGTGGATACAAATGCAGGGTGGGAGGGTTGTTCTGACAGGAGCTGGAATTGGGGATGAAACTTTGGGATTGCCAATGGAAAGAAGCAGAGAGAAATTCCGCAGGTGGAATTCTGTCCTCTTCAAACTCCACTGCGGGTTCTCGTGGCTGCCTGGGAAGTTTGGGCCAGGAAATCCCAAATTTTAACCTTCCCTCACGCTGGCAGAAGGAAAAAAAAACCTGTAAGGCTTGGATACCTGGAATGCCAGGGAGGAGATTCCTGCAGGGTGCAAAATCTCCAATTACTGCTCAGCATCGTCCTCTTGTTAAAGGTTTGGGGCACTTAATTCCCTAAAGTTTGGAACATTTAAATCTCAAAAGTTTGGAGCATTTCATTCACGAAAGATTGGAGTATTTAATTCTCAAATGTTTGGAGCATTTCATTCTCAGATGTTTGGAGCATTTCATTCACGAAAGTTTGGAGTAATTAATTCCCAGATGTTTGGAGCATTTTATTCATGAAAGTTTGGAGCATTTCATTCACGAAGGTTTGGAGCACTTCATTCCCAAAAGTTTGGAGTATTTAATTCCCAAAAGTTTGGAGCATTTCATTCTCAAATGTTTGGAGCATTTCATTCTCAAAAGTTTGGAGCATTTCATTCACGAAGGCTTGGAGCACTTAATTCCCAAAAGTTTGGAGTATTTAATTCTCAAAAGTTTGGAGCACTTCATTCCCACATGTTTGGAGCATTTCATTCCCAGATGTTTGGAGCATTTCATTCTCAAAACTTTGGACCATTTCATTACCAGAAGTTTGGAGTAATTAATTCCCACATGTTTGGAGCATTTCATTCCCAAAAGTTTGGAGCATTTCATTCCTGGAGCTAATTGCAGTTAAAATGGATTAAAAAAAAATCCCTCAGACATCCTGGCAGAGATATGGAAAATATTTTGGGATTGCTCCTGATGAACAGATGCTGCACCAAGGAGGATTTTATGTGTCCCACGGGTACCAGGAACGTGGAATCTTTTCTGCATTTCATTTTCCACCCATTCCCACTAAAAACCCACTCAGGTGTAGGAGCAAACCTGCACTGCCTGCCAGGCTGATTTAAAATCCCTCTGAATTGGTCACTGGCCAAATCCTCCCCTTTGGGTGAGGGATTTATCATCTCAGCCTCGCTGAGGGAAGGGCAGTGTGGCACAGAAAAATGGGATTTATCAGGAACAGGAGCAGGAATTTGGATTTCTGGACATCCAGAAGGTGAAGCACTGCACTCTCCTTCCTTCACCAGCTCTAAAATAATTTCCAGGTGTTCTGAGATTTACAAAATAATCCCAAATCTTTTTTTTTTTCCAGCTTTTCCTGGGCACTGTGAACATTTCTCCATCAGCTGTTGCACAAATGGATTCATTTTGCTGTTTATCCTCAATAGTTCCAGAGTACTGAGTGTGTGCTGTGCTCGTTCCTTCCATCCTCCAGGGATTTGTCCCTGGTTCCAGAGGAGCCTGGCAAGGAGGGGAGGATTCCTCTTCAGAAGCAGCAAAGCAGCAGAGAAATGTGAGTGTGAGGCTAAAATTAGTGAGTGCAGCCTGTGCAGGAAGGAAATCGTACAAGAACACAACTTCCAGCAGCCCAGGCGTGAGGCAGGGAAGGTGTTTTATTTTTTGTTGTTTTTTTGGTTTTTTTTTTTTAATTTCCAAATCCACATCCTGAGACTCGTGCTGCCTCTGCCACCTGAGCTGCCAAAGCTGGAGGGGGAAATGCTCCTCTTGCCAGGAAAAAAGGGGTTGGTGCTGGATATCAGGGGGGAATTTCCAGCCCCACGAGGGATCCCTGCAATGAGCAGTGGCCAGAGGAGCTCAGCTCCTTTTTTTTCCAGCAGTGGGGCAGGGATGGAGCATTCCCAGCTCCCAGCAGGGACATCAGAGAGCATCGATTCCAACCCTCCACGGATCCCTGGGAGATAAAGGAATTATTTCACAGGTGCCCAGAGCAGCTCTGGCTGCCCCTGGGTGATCCCTGGAAATGTCCAAGGCCAGGCTGGGACAGTGGGAGCTGTCCCTGCCATGGCAGGGGTGGGATTGGATGGGATTTAAGGTCCCTCTCACCCCAAACCAGTCTGGAATTCTGGGATCCCAAATCCAACCCAGCCTTGAGCACTTCCAGGGATGGGGAATCCCATGAATCCTGACACAAAATCACTCCTGACTGATTTATTTTAACATCTCAGGGCTCCCTCCTTCCCTCAAATATCACAAACTTCCTAATTTTTGATACCAGGATTTTCTATCCCATTTTAAGCTTGGTTTTACCGTTGGCAGATGGATCCAGCACCAGACATTCCCACTTGATTATTTATCAGCTCAGGAATTAATTCCATGATTTCCACGCCCCACAGAGATGCACCACGGTGCTGCCTCATCACTACAAAAATTCTAACAAAACCTCATTAAAAAAAAAAAAAAGGTCATTTTATATAAAGGGAAGGAGGCAACAAATGGAAAGAAACAAGAAATTGGGTGCAGACAGTTCAGAGCTCCAGGGGGGTTGGAGAACAGAGAGTCACCCACTCCTGATCTGAGCTCCATCCCATCAGGGGGGCTCAAGGAGTTCCCACCACCACCAGAGATCAGCCAGAGGTTCCCCTGTGGGGTTTATTTACCTCTTCAAAAAGTCAGCTTGGAAATTAAACCAAAACGAGAAAAAAAAAAAAAAAGCATTGAATACAATTAACACGTAATAAATGATGTCTTAAATGTGCATCTGAGCTGCAATTTTAAAGCCTTTATGCCCATTACCATGCAGGAGGATGTGGAATTCATTCTGGTTTGAGGTTTGCAGCGCAGAGAGCTGGGTTTAGGCTCAGCTTAGTCACCAACTGATGGCGTGACCTTATCTGCAGAGTCTGGGCTGCTACAGCTGCTAAAGCCTCAAGATCGAAGGTCAAAAAGCACCTGAAAAGCTTTGGGAGGAGCAGCAGGAGATCACACAAACACCCTCGAGTGATCTGGAGCTGCTGGCTTTGACTCTGTGCTTGCAGCCCAGCCCAGCCCAGCCCAGCCCAGCCCGGGAGCCCCGCAGGGCTTCGGCTCTCGGCAAATTTTGGGAGAATTTGGGTGCCAGAGAAAAGCTCTGCAGAGGCTAAAATCGGATTTGGGGCTGGGAGGTTTCACACCCCGAGGCCTTCGGGGATTTCTGAGTGCACAGAGCAGAGATCAAAGCCCAGATTGTGACCAAGGCTCGAGCAAAGCTGCAAAGAAGAGCCCGGCTCAGCAAAGCCCGTCTGAAAACGTGGCAGGGCAGAAGCAAGAGCAGCTGGGATGGGCTCACGGCAAAAGTGGGGAAAATGATGGGATTTGGGAGAGCCTCTCGTGGGATTTGGGGAGGATGATGATGATGATGATGATGATGATGATGATGAGTCCTGCACGGGGCTGAGCTGGCGTTTCAGAGCAGAGGATGTGAGAGGTGAGGATGTGGTTTGGCTCTCACCCCCGGTGCCTGTGTCAGTGGCAGCTCCCAAATGTCAGCTCGTGGGCAAATCCCATGAGAACGGCGCCAGAAAAGCCGTGGGAGCGGGGCTGGGATGAGGGAGCAGAGCTGGGGCACGGAGAATAAAAAATGAATTTACAGAGGTGATCGAACAGGGGAGATTCTGTGACCGCTGCTCACCAAACCAACAGAGCCTTTCCTCAACAGAGACGAGATCACTTTGCCACAAGAATGCAGAAAAACCCGCAGCCCGAACCTCCAAAGGACAGAGATGTCGATGAGTTTTGTGCATCACCCGATTTCCTAGAGCAGCAGCGCTGGACCCAAACTCTCCCCGTGGCTCCTGCCTTGGCGTGCTCGGGAGGAAAACGGGATTTTCCAGGTTAAATCACTCATTCCGTGCTGCTGGGGACAATCCTGGCCACAGCAGAGCCACCGGCTGGAAATCACCGAGCCACTGCAGAGGGGAGACCCCGAATCTGCCACCCCGCAGGGAGGGACGGCTCCTGCTGCTGCTGGGGGTCAGCTCTGCCGGGCCACAATTCCACAATTCCACCGTGCAGGGTCCAGGGAAGCTGAGATGGACACCGAAAGGAAATTATGGAGCTGCTGGAATAAATCCAGAGGAATCCACGGAGCTGCTGCAGGGCTGGAGCCCCTCTGGAGCCAGGCTGGGAGAGCTGGGGGTGCTCACCTGGAGAGGAGAAGGATCCAGGGAGAGCTCAGAGCCCCTGGCAGGGCCTGAAGGGGCTCCAGGAGAGCTGGGGAGGGACTGGGGACAAGGCAGGGAGGGACAGCACCCAGGGAATGGCTGTGAGCTGAAAGAAGATGGATTTAGATGGGATATTGGGGAGGAATTCCTGGCTGGGCTGGAATTCCCAGATTTGCTGTGGCTGCTCCATCCCCGAAAATGCCCAAATCCAGGTTGGGACACCCTGGGACAGTGGGAGGTGGCCCTGCCATGGCAGGGGTGGCACTGAGTGGGATTTGAGGTGATTTCCATCCCAAACAATCCCGGAATCCAGGATTTTGTGGCTCTCCCGCACACCCCGACACCGGGAGCCTCCGGCCGTGTCCCCACCCTCGGTGTCCCCACCCTCGGTGTCCCCGGGCACCGGCACCTCCTGCTCTGCCTCTCCTCCCGAGACACCGCAGCGAAGAGATCACAGGAATTTTTTTTTCCTTTTTTTCTTTTTTTTTTTTCCTTCTTTTTTTTTTTTTTTTTGGAGTTGTGTGGTCGGCGGGAGTCAAGGAAGAAGGAACCGCAAGGGTAAAAAGCAGAGTTCGGTGCTTAAATATTGAGGGGAAGGGGGAAAGCAGAAAAGGGGAAAGAAGAAAAAAAAAAAAAAGGGGGGGGAGAAAGATAAAAAAGGAAATATATAAAAGATTAGATTAAAAAAAGATAAAGGCGAGAGAAAAGATAAAGATGAGAAAAAAGATGTAAAAAGATTAAAAAGGGAAAACGGAAAATAAAAGGAAAGGAAAAGGAAAAAAGAAGAGGAAAAAAAGAAAAGGAAAAGGAAAGAAAGGGAAAAGAAAAAGGACAAAGAAAAAGGAGAAAAAGGAAGACGAAAGAAAAAAATAAAAAGAAAGAAGACAAAGGAAAAGTAAAACAAGACAAAGGCAAAGAAAAAACTCAAAAGAAAAGAGGGTGGAAACGAAAAAGAAAAGTGGAAAATAAATATGTAAAGGAAAGAAAAACAGGAGAAAAAAAACCCCAAAAAACATTTTTAAAAGGAGGAAAAAAAAAAAAAAGGAAATAAGAAAAAAAATAGAAGTAAAAGGAAGCAACGGTGTGGAGGGTGATGGATTGGTGATTTCCTCCTGCCTGCCACCACAAAAAAATCAAACTCCGCTCATCTGCATCGTCCTCCAACTCGTCCTGGGCGAGGGAATCGATGGCGCTGGAGCAGCTGCAGTGAAAATTCCTGAGAAAACACGAGAGCTGGGATTGGAATAGACAAAAACCCCTCATGGTGTCCTGGTTAAAATCATCCCAATCCTGCCGAGCTCCAGCCGAGCTGAAAAGGGCTCTGGGAAAAAGGAACTGATGAGGACAGAGAGAGAAAACAAGAGGTAAAAATGTTAATATTCGGAATTTTGTTGAGGTATCGGCTCCTCCCCAGCCCCCTCCCTCCCTCCCTCCCCTCGGGAAATTAATGATAATTATTGGCAGCCCAAATGTCGCTCCTGGGACAAAATTTGGGATTTTTGGAGGCTGCAAATTTTTGTGTCCCCTCATTTCTGGAGCTGCCCCTGGAATAGCCGGGCTGAGGTGTCCGAGGTAGGAAAAGCCGATTGAAACCGCTCAGAAAAGCTGAGTTTGTGTCGCTGATGGCCCGAAAAGAGAAGGAACGATAATAACAAAATATTCAAACTCTTAAACGTGGCAGTGGGCAGCGGGAGTGCTGAAAAAAAAAAAAGAGAGAAAGCAAAAATCATCTCAGAGAGAAGGGAAAATGAGAGTGGACGAGTCTGGCTCTGAGCGAGGGGGGCTGGGCTGCGATTTATTTGATATTTCCTCTTTCTCTTCCTCTTCCTCTCCCTCCCCTTCCCTTTTTCCCTTTTTTTTTTTTCCCTTTCCTTCCCCATCCTGAGCATCCCCCGGAGCGGCCGCGGGGCTCGAGGTGAGGAACCCCGGCCTGGGCACCGGGGGGTACCGGGGGGTACCGGGGGGTGTCAGGGGGTACCGGGGACACCCCCGAGCCCCCCGGGGCTGGGGGACCCCCAGGGGTGATTCCTGACCGAGGGCCCTGGGAAAGGCGGCGTCCCCCGGGATGCTGCAGCCTTGGGATTTTCATTGCCCTGGGATTTTTATTCCCCTGGGATTGTCCTGCTTTGGGATTTTCATTCCCCGGGGATTTTCCTGCCTTGGGATTTTTATTCCCCTGGGATTTTCCTGTCCTGGGATTTTTATTCCTCTGGGATTGTCCTGCTTTGGGATTTTCCGGCTTTGGGATTTTTATTCCCCTGGGATTTTCCTGTCCTGGGATTCTCCTGCCCTGAGATTTTCATTGCTTTGGGATGCTCCTGCCCCGGGATGTTCATTGTTCTGGGATTCTCCTGCCCTGGGATATTCCTGCCCTGGGACTCTTCTTACCTGCGTTTTCTTTTCCCCCGGGGATTTTCTTTGCCCCGGGATTTCATCTGCCTTGGAATGTTCCTTACCTGTGATTTTCCTTGTCCCCGGATTTTCTTTGCCCCGGGATTTTCCTTGTCCCGGGATTTTCCTTGTCCCGGGATTTTCCTTGTCCCGGGCCGCTCCTGCCCTGATTTCTGTGTTTTCCCGGCGATGCTGCTGCCCTGGAATCCCGATATCCCGGGACAATAGCAGCCCAGGAATTCTCACTATCGCAGATATTCCCTGCACCTCGGGATGGAGCAGTGCCCAAAGCCCACCCTGAACTGTCCCCATTCCCGGAGCTCCGATTAAATCCCCCACATTTGGCAGCTTTGGGAAGAGCCCCGAACCTCGGGCAGGACATTCCCAAAATTTGGGGTGACCTGGGGTCCTCACAGAGACTGAGGGGGCAGCCAAAGTGCAGGAAAGTTTCCCTAAAACCTCCGGCAGCGCCAGTAATTAGGGATGTGTGAGATTTGGGGCACAAATTTTGGTTTTTTTTTCTGCCTGAAATGAGTGAGATGTTCCTCTTTCCACCGGTGACCGGCCAGTTGTTCCTGCCAGTTCTTGGAAAGCACAAGGGAGGTTTTTTGGGTTTTTTTTTTAGGGAGAAGTGGGGTTAAAAAGCAGCTCTGGAGCTGTGCTGCTGCTGCAATTTGTGTTTCAGTACCTACAACCAGCAAATATTGATTCCCCACACTTGGTGCCTTGAGGGGTGGAACAGAGGCTAGACAGAGTTAAAGGAATAAATTTTTATATATTATAATTCATTAAATATATATAGATATTAATTTATAAATATTAAAATATTTAAAGGACTCACCTCTGGCAGTACAAGAGCCCGGCCAAGATGAGTCACGATTTCTCACATTTTTATCAGTTTTGGTTCATTGTCCAGCAGTCCCATCCTCCCAAATTCTCTCCTCAATTCTCTGTTTGCACTTTTTGGTGCTGGAGCTGCAGCTGTCCTTGGTTTTGGGGCTGGCAAAGGATTGTTCTGTGTGCCTGAGCTGGGAGGAGAACTTGGAATTCTTTATATGAAATTCAGAGTCACACACTAATGCAAAATCTGGAAAATATGAAAGCAAAAACTGAAAGCATCACTCTGCTGTGGAACCTGGAGGAGTTTCCAGATTTCAAATGAATTCTCCCTGCCCTCACTCCGAGCTGCTGCTGCTCCTCAGCAATTTCTCATCCTTTGCTCCCATCACAATTTAAATCTTCAGCACTTCCCTGGCTGTGCCTCTGTTCAGGTGCTCTGAAATGAGGGAGGTTTGCCCTTTTCTCTGAAATTAGGCTGGTTTTACCCCTTGTCTATAAAGTGAAGTTGGTTTTGCCCCTTTTCTCTGAAATTAGGTTTGTTTTGGCCCTTATCTCTGAACTGAGGTTGGTTTTGCCTCTTGCCTATAAAGTGAAGTTTGTTCTATCCCTTGTCTATAAAGTGAAGTTTGTTTTGCCCCTTGTCTATAAACTGAGGTTGATTTTGCCCCTTATCTCTGAAATCAGGTTGGTTTTACCCCTTACCTATAAAGTGAAGTTTCTTGTGCCCCTTATCTCTCAAGTGAGCTTTGTTTTGCCCCTTGTCTATAAAATGAAGTTTGTTTTGCCCCCTTTCTCTGAAATTATGTTTGTTTTGCCTCTTTTCTCTAAACTGAGGTTGGTTTTGCCCCCTTTTTCGGGGTATTTTGGGCACTTTGCTGTGGCAGCAGCTGTTTGTTTGCAGGCTGCTCAGCCAGCCCCGGGCTGATGTGGGTTTAGTGGAAGGCAAAGCATTTCCCTGAAGAGCCTCGGTGCTGAGATTGCTCATCCTGGCACTCACGAGTCACCGACAGAAGGCACCAAGAGCAGAGGCTCTGCCTGAGCTGGGACTCTGCTGCCAGGCTGGAACGTCTGGATTGAAATAAAACCCGGGAATGTTCATCAGGGAGATGTCACAGAATGAGCATCGGGGATTTCCTGAAACAGTAAAGCAGAAAAACGCAAAGTTGTGTATTAATATCTGTACATAACAGCCCCACTTTTCACGAGCTGGTAACGGGAATTTCTTTCTCTCTAGGCACCAAAATGCCATTTGCATGGATCGTGCTCTCAGCCATTTGCTTTGTGCTGCAGCTCACAGCAGGTAAGAGAGAGCTTTCCTCCTACACAGCAATTATCTCTCAAATGAAGCACTCAGCCTAATTAGCCTGGGATTTTTCAGTTTCTACTCCCAGTGCCAGGGAGGATCTTCCTTTCAGGAGCTGGTCAGTGATGCAGGGAGTTTGTTTGGTTTTTAGTTCGAGGTAGAGCTGTTGGTTATGTGGGAAAAGGCACCGGGGCAGGCAGAGCTCATGAATAGGAAAAAAAAAAAATCGTGTTCACAGAATCTCAGAATGGTTTGGGTTGGGAGGGACCTTAAATCCCACCCGGGGGCAGGGACACCTCCCACAGTCCCAGGGTGATCCAGCCCGGCCTTGGGCACTGCCAGGGATCCAGGGGCAGCCACAGCAAATCTGGGAAATCCATTCCAAGGCCTCCCCACCCTCACAGGGAACAATTCCTGCCCAATATCCATCCCTGCCCTCTGGGAATCCATTCCCTGTGTGCTGTCCCTCCCTGCCTTGTCCCCAGTCCCTCCCCAGCTCTCCTGGAGCCCCTTCAGGCCCTGCCAGGGGCTCTGAGCTCTCCCTGGATCCTTCTCCTCTCCAGGTGAGCACCCCCAGCTCTCCCAGCCTGGCTCCAGCAGCTCCAGCTCCTTGCTGTGCCTCCTGCACAGCTCTCCTGACACAGCACTTTTACAATCCCCAATGAAAGGAAGGTTCTGGAGTTTTTACCTGGGGTTGTCTCATTTTTTGGGGGGTGCTGGGAGCGATCCCGTGGCTGCTGATCCCAGAGTTCCTGTGCAGATCCCACAATTTCTCCATCCAATATCTCTGGGGGGGATTCCAGCTCGAGCTCAGCCCAGCCATGTGTTCCTGCGTGTCTGAGCCTGCTTTGCCATTCCCTCACAGAATCCTGCAGGAGAGGGGCAGTGAGTGCCAGCAGAGCTGCCCTGGCCACCACAGAGCTCTGTGCCATGGGCAACGTGACAGCCAGCACCTCCAGTGCCATCCAGCGTGGCACCAACGTCACCCTGTGGTGCCAGCTGGCAGCCCCACAGCGAGCTGGCTGCTGCTGGGCTGCGATTTTCCTCAACAGCTCCGAACAGGTCAGGAAATGGGGGAGATCAGTAAGGAAAACATTTGAGGTCACTGCCTACGGCAAACACACGTTCATGTGCAAAAGGATCTGTGGAGAAGACACCAGCCTCCTGTGCGGCATCGATATCTGGTGTGGAAGTAAGGAAAATTGGGTGTTAATTACCGCTAATTAAAGGTTCTCTGTAGGAGGGGCACTGGTGGTGGGTGGCTTTGTCCAGGATTGGTGCTGCCTGTGAGGGGCTCGTCCTATTGGAAATATTCCTGGTTGGAATTGTGTCTGGAATTATTCCTGAAGGGAGAGAGGCTCGGTAAATCTGCCTGCTCAGAGCAAAGAACATCCTCCATCCACAGCATCCCCAAAAATGGCTCCTACCAACAGCTTGGAGGAAGGAAAACTGAAGGGTGGATGATGGATGGATGGATGATGGATGATGGATGGATGGATGATGGATGGATGATGGATGATGGATGGATGATGGATGATGGATGATGGATGGATGATGGATGGATGGATGATGGATGGATGATGGATGGATGATGGATGGATGATGGATGATGGATGATGGATGATGGATGGATGGAT